CGAACCGTCATGGCGATCATGCATTCAGAATAGGAAGTATGTTGGTTCATCAAGATAGCGAGCTCCGCGGAAAATTCAGCCGACGGTGATAGGCGAAGTGGCTCAGATTTCACGATTCATGAAGCGTCCTGCTGACGAGACGGCGAACAATTCCAAATTCCTTCAATGTCATTCCGTGGCCGTCCGTGAGGAGATCTGGAGAGGAATAAGGGATGCGTTCAACGTCGGGGAAAAAGAGTTGAGAAAAGGATTAGATTGGCAGGTTTCGTGCCGGAGGACCGGAGCCTTGCGAACGACTCCCGTAAGGTAACCTTCCGGGAGAGAAGACTACTAGCCAGTCGGTCACGGATGCTTATCGGAAAGTATCAGTGAGTCGACGACGCGATCTTTCTACCCGCAGTGGGAATTCCGAGACGTGCTTTCGTGGGAAATGACGCGAGAAGTTGATTACGCGGTGGATTATCGCTTGAATTATCGAAACTACTACGATATTAAGCCTCTGATACGCATTTACTGATCTTTTTAAATTTTTAGCGCAAAGCATATTCCGATAAAGAATAAATTAAAAAATCGAATATGAAATCATGTGACGCAACCGGCAGAGTCATCGCGATGTCCTTTCGCGATAATAATTAAGAGAGAGATGATGATGACTTATTTGTATGATGGCTTTAAGCAGACTGTTTTATTCCTAATTCACGACAAAATAATTATACGTAGAGAACAACGCGTCGGGCGCATACATATAATCCTCTTAATGAAACACGAACCACGAGCTGTGGTTCGTGCCACATGCGCGCGGATTAACCTCAGAAAATGAGCTGACTGACGTCAATTAAACTTAACAGGGAACCAACTAAATCGTATGGACGTCTCTCTTTCCCTCTCTCTGTCTATCTCTTCCCCTCGTGAGAAGTGGAAACTTCACCGCCACCGCCCTGCATACCGGATGCGGCTATATTTTGAACGGCCGTAGTAATAATCATCATCTTTCTCGACAGAACAGTCAAAGCCATTCGCGCAAATACCTTTCTCTCGAATTCCAATTAGATCAAATGTCTATTTGCGTAATTACATTAACGTTGGATTCTCCGTCCCGGACGGACGATGCAAATTACTTAAATAAATTATCAATTGTGCTCGTGACGGTTATTCTAATTTATTGCCAATTAATTGTAATTAATTATATATTAAATATTATCGGAAATTTATCGTTGGTCAATTCAATAATCAATAACCAGCAATTATATTCGCGTTTTATAAATAATCGGGATTAATATTGCGTTAATACGGGTTTTAAAATTACGCGTTACATTTCTGCGAAAGAGCCATCCCTAAATTGCTTTAGAAGTAAATTCCTGTTACGGAGTGGCTTTTATCGGCACACCCTGTACATATGCGACTGACCAATATAACATGGCGACTGGAGAAGGGTGGCAAGTGCATGAAACGCGCGTGTAATAAGCAAACAAGAGGAGCTGCGAATATGATGGCCGTGCTAATTAAGTTTCGCTCTTTCCCGTGCTATTGCAACGCGCGGCCCTTATCCCTCCGCTTCCTGCCTATCCCCCCAGCCTCGCCCGTCAAATGTATCCCTGCATCCCTCGGCACCACTGTAACGCGCAACAAGTGAGACACGCACTCTCTCTTCCTCTTTCAACTTCTACTTTTAAATTTCTTTCGCTTTTTCATTTTATTTTTCATACTACTCTTTGCTGCTCCTTTGCCGTGCGCGCGGTTCTGTTTTATCATTTTTGAGCGAAAATCCTTGTACTATATGAAAGACAGGGTAGTAATGGAAGGACATAAAGCAAATAGCGTATTAAAAAGTTATATAAAAGCTATATGCGTGTATATTTTCTTTTTATCATCATTCACGCTAAAAACTATCATTTTAAAAAAAATAAAAATAAAATTCACGCTAATCGCATTTTTGGATATCGCAAAGAAAGGATTCTATTTTTAAGATTAAATTCGTTTAATCTCGCATTGCCGTTTCCAATTTTATGGTGATTTATTACAGCAAGTCAAATTCATAATTATGCGCAGGTGAAGGAACCAGCGGGAGCAGAAAAGGTTTGCGGATCTGATGGAGTGACGTACGATAACGAATGCGCTTTGAAAAGGGCATCATGCAAAAGCGAAACCCTCATCACCGTTAGCTACGTAGGTGACTGCGGTAAGCAACATATATTTTACAAGTCTTATAAACACGACAGCTAGTGCAATGATACCGCGACTAAATAAAACAATCCCCTTCTTTCTCTTTTCAATCTGATATTTACAAATGTATATACATAATATAGTAATTATAATATTTTATATAATATGTACATAATAATAATATCGTAATACTATAATAACATAAATAATCAAGAATGTTATATTAATAAAATAATAACAAAAATTCTTTCGATATCTTAAAAATTAATTTTATCGAAATATTTATACCTATATATTTTTTATATGAATATAAATATTCAGTAAATTAATTTTTAAGACATCAAAAGAATTATAATCTTGAAATTTTCAAAATAGTAAGAAGTAAGAAGTTTCGGAGACTTCTTGCCTTGCTTGGAGATTTCAGGATTTATAATAATGATTCACTGCTGCGATCGAGCTAAGAAGAGAAAACATTTTCCAGAAATGTGCGCGAGAGTAAAATGCGATCACGGGGCGCATTGCGTGGCGGGTGTGTGCGTGTGCCCGAAAGTCTGTCCGGAAAGCAGCGGCGAACTCGTTTGCGGTAGCGACGCGAAAACTTATCAGTCCGAGTGCGAGCTGCAGCGGGCGGCCTGCGGCAGGGATCCCAAGTTGCCGGCGTTGCACGTCACATTTTATGGAGACTGCACCGACAGATTGGCCGCAGCAGCGTTGAGTACGTTTCCAAAATTATATACCCGCCCCTTAATTTTCATTCGCGGAGATTCCCCCGCAGTTAATCCACGACTGCAATGCGAGCGTGGTACAGCCGAAGGCACCAAGTAAAATTTTGATAGCGAAAATACAACCGCATAAAGCTCGTGACATCGAGCGATAAAAATGTAGCGAATCAAGCGTAAATCTTATTTGCATTTTAACTTTAAGATTTAAGATCAGTTGCAGCACGGTTGACACGTGCAATATTTGACACTAAGAGGTACTTGGTGTGCTGTACTTCTCAGACAACATTTAATGAAAAGCCGTTGTGGCTTGACAACGAGTTTGAGTGCCTGACGCAACACGATCCCCTTTGTGCTAATGCTCGAGGCGCTTATGAAGTTCTAAAGACGTTTAGACATCTCGCACATGTCTCCTCTGTAACATTTAGAAGTTGCCGCTCCCGTATACAAGGCGACGTAATTGAAAATAGCTCGCTCGGGACGGTCGCGATCAGCAACTAGGCGCTCGTTAGAGCGCCAAGAACCTTTAATGCCGATCCGGATTGCGTTAACCGCATGTCATTAACGATTCGCCTGCCTGACGCTCTAACAATAACAATAAACCGCTGTCTAACCGCTTCTAACAGCAACCAAGTCGACGCCCGCGGTGACTCGCGTGGCCACCACCATCGCAGACGTGACTAGCACGCAGGAGCGCGAGGCGTGCAAGGATATTCACTGTGACTTCGAGGCGACCTGCGAACTCGGCCCGGACAAGTTTCCCAGGTGCAGCTGCAGGTTTGACTGCGCCTCCATCTCACAGGAGAACTTGCGGTCCGTCTGCGGCAGCGACCTCAAGATGTACTCCTCCCTTTGCGCCATGAAGATGGAGGCTTGCCAGAGACAACAGGAGCTGAGGCTGCGGCCTCTCGATCTCTGCCAAGGTTCGGAAGTCCCTCGAAGAGAAGATCAATTAGAAGTCAAATTATTAGACAATGGATGAAATGGACGAAATTGCAATTGCTTTTAGCAATTAACTTCCTATGCTTTTATTGAGCTTTTCACTAATAAATTAATTTGGACGATGAATAAGTTTTGTCAATAGAAATCGTTCTTTATCATAAGTTAGTGATCGGTAGATAACGATACTAAAACTGTTTTTATTCATGTAACAATGTTCAGGTATGGAAGTCAAGCCTTGCAACGGTGATCCTCCGTTGGTGGACTCCGAGGGCAAAGAGTACGACTGCGGTAGTGGACCAGAACGCAAAGACTGTCCTAGCAATAGTTATTGCCATCAGACAATGCGGTTCGCTCGCTGCTGCAAGAAAGGTCAGCGAAAAAAGACATTCGTAACATTCATCTAATATTTAATATATATATAGGTAAATAGCAATTCTTCATAATTACACGAATATTCAAATATATCATATTAACTTTTATAAATATCACATCTATAATATTGATATCCCTAAGAACTGATATGCGCAGGAGCATTTCTTCTCGAGGAAGTTGCGCCACAGGATCAAGGTGTCGTATAAGTTTCCACGACGCTCATAGTTGGTACGTTTTTTTTCCAGTTCACGGTATCCAGGTGGTAAAATGCGCGGACTCGTGGCACGGCTGCTGTCCGGACGGGAAAACCGCCGCGCTCGGTCCAGACGGTGCGGGCTGCCCGAGTTTATGCGGTTGCAACCGCCTTGGCAGCGTGTCCGACACCTGTAACCCGGAAACCGGTCAATGCGAGTGCAGGCCGGGTGTAGGCGGACTCAAGTGCGATAGGTGTATGCCGGGTTACTGGGGATTGCCGAAGATAAGCGAGGGTCATCAAGGATGCATACGTAAGATTGGGGATCAGTACACTCCACAGTTCTCCACTGTTCACTCGTGTAATCATTTGACATGCACATACGTGGTGCATTATACATGTAAAAACGATGTCGTCACAAGCGTAATTTATAAACGTAAAATATATTTAGGGTATATTTTCTTCGAATTAATCAAAGCCTGAAAAATTTCATTTTAGTATGTACGGGTTGTCTTTTTATTATTAATTGTTGACATATGTGTTGTTAAGTGACCAGTGAATTTATTCTTCATATTAATTCTCACGGAAAAATTAACGTAAATCAACTTTTTTTTCTGAATACAGCGTGCGGCTGTTCGCTATTCGGTTCCGTCAGAGAGGACTGCGAACAAATGACAGGACGTTGCGTCTGTAAGCCTGATATCCAGGGACAGAAGTGCACGATTTGCAATGACCATAACAAGATACTCACGTCTACCGGCTGTTACTCAGGTATCACATGTAATAATAATGCGAATTTATCAAATTCACCGTTTACTAAAATTTAATAATAAACCTTGATGCCTCTCACAGCAATAAAAGAAAAAAAAACAGACAGGAGATTCTTCCCTTATTTTAATATAACAACATACATCGAAATATGCGCGCGTTTTATTCTAAAGGCAAGTCCGCCTAACTCGACACGTTGTTTATTCCATGACCGCGGAACACGCCGGGATAACATTTTAACGCGCTCGAGGTAGACTTCACGAGTAGACCTCACGGAGTAGTCGGAGCAGTCTCGTCGTCTCGCAACGACGGTGTAATTTTATTAACACCCCGCGCTGTAATCCGCTTTGCTCCGCAGCGGACATGATACCGCCCGTACCGATGACCTGCAACGAGCTGGAGTGCTACTCGGGCGGCCACTGCACGGAGATCGGCGGCGTGCATTGCGTCTGTCCGTCCGCCTGCCCGGCGGACGTGCCGTCCGTGCCGGTGTGCGGCAGCGACGGGCAGACCTACGACAACGAGTGCGAGCTGCGGCTCTACGCGTGCCGTCACCAGGCCGACGTGGTCACTCAGGCCTTCGGCCACTGCAGAGGTGGGTTCACTGAACGTACTCCGCCGAACAGATCGCTTTTCGTCCTGCGCTACTGAGAGAAAGAGAGAGGAAGCGAGAGAGACACGCACACATACACACCTCGAAAACAGGCGCGCCCTGGAAAATCACGGATAGTCATCGCGGTTTGTAACGAGATCGTATATACCCCTTAGAAGAGAAGCTGCGGATAACGCGGTAGCGAATTCAACTCGTAGTTAGATAAGCAAAACCGGTGCTCGTAACTCGTAGTCGAGAAGAATATGCCTAATTGTATAGCGATGTTAACAGAGATAAACGCGTCGGTGGTAGAACACTCGAGGACAGGGCTAAATTTGAAACGAGAAACGTAGAAGAGAGGGGGTAACATGCTCGTCGAGCGTATAGATGACCTCCGAAGATAATTACGGCGTATTGTTGTACGTTGAGTTGCTCCAAGTCTGTAGTAATCTGTGATTTGCCGGCTCATTGTTCTGTAAATTAATCAGGAGGTTTTAGATAACGAGAGTTAGGACCAACAGATACAATCATCACTCAGGAGTTATCAGGAAATGAAAAATTTGTACAATACGGAAGAATTTAAGTACACAATGAATAATTGTTATCGTCAGGAACAGAGATCCCTCGAGAACGACTTGGTAGAGCCGTGGCCTAATAAAGCAATCGGACGGCCGCGCACAACTCTGTGACATCGATTTATAACAATTTAGATTGTTCAAATAGAGAACGTTGTTAATCACGACAGAGATCGAGAATAAAATAAGCCAAAAGGACAGCGTCAGTAAATTCTCTCTTTGCGGAGAAATCTGATAAAAAAAAAATGCCCAGCTTGCCCTAGAAGAACTAACCAGTAGTCCACTTTGTATCCAAAAATTATAATAAACTCATCAAGTTTCTACTGACATGTATATGTTTGTAACCCCCGCACCCGCAACATCGGAACGTCAGCAGTTATTACTTTGCTTGCTTTCTTAATCAATCGCGCGTCCTTGTCCTGTTTTCGTGAATAACATTTGTGATTAATACGTCGCAAATAGCGGCGAATGTTGAAAATAACCCGAGGAAGAAAGAAAGCAAAGTGAGCCACTTGAACTCAAGTTCAAGTGCTGATACAAACTTACTTGACAATTTTCTCGATAAAAGCACATAATCAAACCACCTAATCATTGCACTCAGCTCGCCTGCATCGACATTTCCAATCAAAAATTTATGCAAGAGGTACAAATGAAATAAATCTAAGAACGGTGAAATTAACGTAGACGGTGACATATAAAGTTTTATTTTTTAATTTTAAAACAATTATTATTTTAATTAATTACTTAAAATTATTATACGCGT